GTCTATTCATGCTGCTTTGGCAACGAACGTGCCATATTTTTTTAAAGTGTAGTCTTTTCTAATTTTATGCAAATCTAATTTTATGTAATTTTATGCAGTAGCCCAAAAGAGGGCTTACATTTCAAGCGCCCTGTCTGAAGAACTAAAAGAAAGCAAAGACTTTACCTCTGCATCCTCATCCAGATATCCCTTGCAGCTGGCCTGTTCCAGTAACTGTACTAGTAAATCGAGTACATTTTCCATTGTAAAGTACTCATGTTCACAGCCTGGTGCAGCAGCGCATAAATCCCAGTAGCAAAAAAAGCTTCCATCGGTCCAGATATCGAAGGCATCACCCATATGCAGCAGCAGCACCAAGCATCGTTCACACAACATAATAAGCTAAAATTTGATTCCTCCAGTAAAAAATCAACAAAAGCATAGAAATTCTTGAAATTTCTTACAAATTCGACTAGAACGTTCTTAAGCTCCGCACCAAACAGTGACTTTGTGCAAACTTCTGTAAATATTTTTGCCAAATACCCAGTTAAATGAGCCATCAGATGAGTGACGTGCAGGATGTAGTAGTAGTAGTAGTAATCGGAAAGCAAGATTCGCAAGAAAACGGAAGTAGTTAGTTTCCCTGGCGCGATGTATCGAAAAACAATCACTCGGATTATCTCCGAAGTGACGCCCGCCCATTACTACATATACGAAGGATGGTAACTGGGGGCATAGTACAGGAAAAGGACTGCCCAATGAAGTTCCAAAAAAAAAAAAAAAAAGCCGAGGTTTTACAGGTTAAAAGACTGTAATGGTAAACGGACAGAAATTTTTTTTTCAAAATAAATTTCACCCAGCCAAAATAATGAAAAGTTTTATATCACTACTCGGTCTAACACCTTTTCGGCCTATCCGAACATTACACATCAGAAGAGGGCGATTATGAGAGCTGTAATTTGCTTCTTTTTACTGAACGATATTCATGTAAAGGGACAAAATGAACTATTGGGTAGTAGTCATGCAGCGGACTGGAATCGGACAGTATCCAAACGTACAGAGTTATAGTCGGCTTGGAATCATCTAAAACC